AATAATTGGTAACCTTATGTGAATACTTCTTATATTAAAAATAGTTAATAAATTAAATATTTCAAATCATTTGAAATAATTACAATTTTTATATTTCAATTATGTTTTTCTCAATGGTCATCAATTCTTATAATGTAAAAAACGAAATTATAATAACTATATATTCTTTTCATTAACATAACTTTTTCCACCTTTAGATATTTATCTAATTTTCAATTCCCTATCATTTACTCTGACCTGTGTCACATCTAATCTCGGTCGGTCAATATTTGAATAAACGAGTGGAGAGTGTTTAATGATATCAGAGACTTAGATTGGAAACTACTTTTAAAGATGTGGACGTAATATTATTTATAACAAATTTCTTTTTAATATCTAATTCAAGTTTAATCTAATTATTTTATATTATTTAAACCAAATACAGCAAATATTCGTTCTTTATAACTATATTTCCGGGATATACTACGGATATCATACTATCGCCCTAGCCAGTTAACTTCTGTTCGCAAATCTTTGTGTCGGAAGCCAAAATATTTATAATGTTAAACATCTACAGACGGAGCCGCACCATGTAAAACATGATCTCATCATCAACAAACTACACTTGCCTCAACAGCATTTGTAAAACCATCTGAAGCCACCTACAGTTGAGTGACAACCTGCCATAATACTTACGTGACGACTGACAGTCGTATAGAAAGATTACAACAGATACAAATATAAATATCAATAGACAAAAACATCCATTACAATTGAATTAAGTATTCGGTCCGAGTCAGATTGAATAGAAATATTGTTTCAGAAAAATATAACTTTGTACTGCCCGCTCTGAACATAAATACTATACCCCAAGGGAAACGAAGCAGTAACAATAAGTTAATAAGCCTGTTATTTTTTATTATTCCCAAAGGTTTTAATTTGATTTCTTGTTCAGTGATCTGATAAAATAATAAAACTTTTAATTTAGCTACATATCATTGTTTAAATTTTTGAAACAAAACTCACATTGATAAATTTGTATGCTTTGACAAAAAAAAAAATATTTTTAAGCTCAATGAGTCGTTGATGAGTTATCAAAAACTAAAGGAGTTTTAACAAAAAATCACATTTTTTTTAAAGAACTCATTACATGTGCTTTGATAGTTGAAATTATAATTTTATTTCATTCTAATTTGTGTTTTATTATTAGTATGAAATTAGAGCAGAACTACGAAGAGAAAAAGAGGTAGACGCAGGATAGACATATTTTAATAAAAATATTTTTTCAATGTGGTTAAATGACACAGTAACAGCTCATTTTTTTACCTCTTATTTTTATGTAAACAAAGCTTAAAAATTAATAGAAATTAATATTCGAGAGATGATATTTGCTCTTAGTTTTATTGGAATTATGAACTCGTTTCTGATCGATGCTGCGTGTAACTACATCAGACAATACTGCCATGAATATTAATTATGAACTACGATATATTCGTTACTGAAAATTTAGATCAAAGATATGTAATAGTAGTTATACCACTAGAAAGACTCTATGACGAATATTGCATATCTATTATGTCCCACGACAACAATTCTAAATTAAATTCTATTTAACAATAATAATAGTTTAACTATACATATTATAAGATAATTTTATGCATACATTTATAATACATACGTTTAACTTTTATTATTTTAAATAATGTGACAAACCTGTCAGATAGTACCTTGTTATTAAATACCAACTGAGAGCTCATCGTATTGGCTGTATGAAGCACATATTAATTGAGAGATTTCCTTTCCATTGAAAATACGTTTTGGTACAAATCATATGCATATCTGTCTTCCGTGGAGTGTCAATGAGGATTCGAAGTTTAAATGAATTATATTTTGTCGATGCCTAACTCTACTCAAACTGTTTATTAATTAAAAACAAACTATACCACATAGAGCAATTGCTAAACAAGCTTAGATTTTAGCTACGTTTATTGAATTTAAACTTGTGTATTATGAAGGAATTATATTTAAAAATCATATAAATCTTATTTAATATTACATAAAAATAAGTTTTTTAATTAAAGTTTAATTTTATAGAAAAAGTCACAACTATTGTTCATGAATTGATTTGATAATAATAATAATAATAATAATAATAATAATAATTTATTTCAGATCTTAATCCATATTGTGTTAGTAAAAATTAAACTTAATAAGCTAGTTGGTTAGTAAAGTTACAAAAAATATATTTTATTTGACTACATGGAGCCGTATCCAATGTGCCAAGATTGGCGAATCCCAGCGATCTAACAATGCGTGCAGGATCGTGTTGGGACTGTCCCGTACTCGTCGAAGTAAGGACGCGCAGCGTTTGCGCATGATGGAAGCAAAACCATCTGTGTGAGCCTCTGCGAACATAGCAGAGGCGCTGCAGTATCGCGGCAGCCCCATCAACATCCTGAACGCATTGTTGTATTGCACACGTAAGTCACTGTATGCCCTCCGAGTATAGTTTACCCACAGACTGCACGCATAAAAAGATTGACAATATGCGTTAAAGAGCGTAGTTTTTACTCGTTTGGAACACTTTGCAAATCTGCGGATCAACATATTGCAGCGAACAGACAGCGACCTCCGTTCTCTCTCTATATCCAGATTATCATTCAAATCCTCAGTTATCCAGTGACCCAAGTACTTAAAACGGCCAACCTTTGTAAGTGGTGTACCGCACAGTGTGATATGTGGTATATCATTATTCCGCTTGTGATCCGGTTTAAATATCATAAACTCACTTTTCGTTGGATTGTATCTAAGTCCATGAGTCACTGCATAAGTCTCACAAATACTGAGGAGTCTTTTCATTGCACCACTTGAGGGACTCAGCAGCACCATATCGTCTGCGTAGCTAATATTATTGACACAGACTCCGTCAATATGACAACCGATTCCGGTACTGCTGAGCTCCTCAAGCAGCTTATTAATATATAGATTGAAAAGCGTGGGCGAAGTCACACCCCCCTGCCTCACCCCGCAATCCAATCCATACTCCTCCGAGTGCTCACCAGCCCATTTAACAATATTTCTTTGGTGTCTGTACCAATATTTAAAGGTGAGAAAAATTTCATCAGACATATTAGTTTCATTTTTTAATTTATCCCATAGAACGTCATAGGAAACAAGATCAAATGCCTTGGAGAGGTCCAAAAAGCATGCATATACCGGTGTTTTTCTTACAGTGTAGTACTGAACTGTTTGCTTGAGGCATAGGATAGCGCTCTCAGTGGAAAGGCCAGGTCTAAAGCCAAATTGCGCGTCATTAAGAGATACGTGTTCCGTCAGTCGCTTTCCAAGCAAACAGTCAAGCACCTTCGCAATAACAGTGGCAAGAGAGATCGGTCTATAGTTTGAAACGTCTGATGAGTCACCCGTTTTGTTTTTTATAATGGGTACCACTACAGTACGCATAAGACCATCAGGTAAATATGAGTGCCCTATACACAGGTTGAAAAACAATGCTAAAATTGTCGGCAATCGAACTCCTGCATGTTGCAGGTGTTCAATGCTGAGGTTATCGTATCCAGGGGATTTCCCTCTCACCATATTCTTAATCACTTCAGCTACCTCATTAGGCTTAAATATTATACTACGCTTTGAGTTACAACCCTCAGCATCGGACACCTGCAACGAGGGTCCCAGTGGGGATTCTACTTTGAAATGCTGCCTAAACAAATTAGCAATTTCACTGGGCTCATGAACACCACCGACACTGACAGGAAGACCCGGATTTTTATTAAATTTATTGGTGGTTTTCCAAAACTGGCTAAAATTCTTGTTTTTATGATGTTCAGCAATTATATTCATCTGTATTTGTTGCTGGTTGTTTTGACACCATTTCAATTTTGATTTAAATATACGTCTGGATTCACACATGTCAATATAAGTGGCACCAGAACTTGGCCTGCCATGAAGTATCCAGTTGTGAAAATAAAATCTCGCCCTCACGTGGGCGTCACGCACATGCTTATTCCAACCAATAAGGAATTTATGTTTACAATTATCTCTAACAATATGACTACAGACTGCAGCCTCGGAGAGAATATGTACAATATTACCATATAACTGGTTTATTTGTGTTCTATGATGTGTATTACTACACATACTATCACAACATTTCATCAATTCATTCGGAAAAACAATTTTTGACAATTTTACGTGACATTCATTGTGATATTTAGATAATTGTTCACCATGTCGATGACCCCATATGATTTTATTTTCACACCTGTTTGTTACATTTATTTTAGATGTTATTACATTTAGATTACATTCTATCAGTAGAGGATAGTGGTCAGACAAATAGGTATCATAAAGTACACACACAGAAGTAGCGGCGGGCCGGGCGGCACTAGTCACCAGGCAGTGATCGAGCCAGCGACGCGAACCGTGTGCATCTCTAACAAACGTATAGCTATCCGATGGTAATAAGTCCATGTCTAAACACGACCACATTTGTTCTGAACAAAATGATATAAGTTCTTTTTCAAACAACTCACCAGGGTGTGCGTTGTAGTCCCCTAGCATAAAAACTGAGTCCACGTGTTGACTTTCAATTATAGCGGTTATCTCACTAAGACACTCAGTAAATTCGACTAAATTTTCACTAGAGTCAGTAGGCATATACACAGAGAAAAACATAACACTACGATCTTTGAGTGTGACTTTAATGGCCGCAAGCCGCGCACTACTACACTTCACAACGTTCGCCATAGGAAACATATCTTTCCTCCAGAGTAAGGCCACACCACCGTATGGTCTACCTCGAAGTACTCCTGCCGATGTATCCACAGCTGACGTACCGGTGTAGGCGAAGTTGTTGTCGATACTACCCAGAAAACTTAGGTCATGGGGCATCAGCCAGGTTTCCTGCAGCGCGATAACATCAGCCAGACCACATAGGCCCCGCACACAATTCACAGATCTTATAATATTTTTGCAGTTGAAAGTAACTAATTTAGTTTTATTAATCATATTGCTTTTTGATTATTCTCGGTATTCTTGTAAGCGTTGCCATTCACACGTTGCTTAAAGTCAAAAAATCGCCTATAAGCCACTCCTTCCGGCCAAAATTCATCTGACATAAACAATTCTAATTTATGTTTAGGTATAAAAATTTTGTAGGATTCATAGTCTTTTTTTATTTTCATAGTAATTTTTTCTATGTCAACATCAAGGGTCGTCTTTGTTTTAATGTAAGCATGAATATCACACACTGACACTTCCTTTGACACATTATAAATATAAATTGGAATTTTAATTTCCGCCGCTTTAAATTTATTTCCTGGTTCTAAAATAGCCTTTCCTCTGTGTCCCATAAAACGATTTCGAGTTCTTTTCCTTTGTACTCGAATCCATTCATCATCCTGTTTCTGTTTATTCCATTTTCCTTCTCGAACAATTTCTGCGATCGTTTTTGTGTTTGACATCATTGTGTTGTTTTCACCTAAGTACGCCGTGTGTCTCACGCTCTTATCGGACCGGTTTACGATAGTAGTAGGTATGGCCGACGGTTTACTCAGCTGAGCAGAATGAGTCATCGCTGCCGTTAACTTCGGTTCTTGTTGAGTCATTGTATTTGAATTCAGCGAACAAAAACTACCCTCGTTTGAAAATGTTGATGTTTTATATTTACGATCTTCTGATATTAAACAAATATTCTGATTATCATTTTTATCCGTATCTTTGGTTATAGGCGGTAAACCCATGGGGCCACTATTGCACTCAAAACTATCAAGTAAACAAGCACCACGTCTATTGTTTACATTAACGGGGTAGTTATTGACACTAAACGTTTCTTTTATGATTTCGACGTCGCATTTCAATGCATTTAAGCTCTCAATAGTCGCATAGTCTTTTTTGATTACCTTGACTTCTTCTTGCAACTTGACTAAGTCTTTAAGGAGTCTAGTTACGTCGACATGGTCAAACAATACGGGCGGTAATTTTTCAAGATCTCTGGCCACAAACACTGGAATATCTTCACAATCGGTGGTTCTTAATAAGCAGATAATGTCATCTATATCTCTTATTGATTTGCCATCTTTTTTACGAGTAATTTTGCGCCTCTTTTTCGGCAACGACTCGAATAGCAAATTCTTTGCCGTCACAATATCAACTTCGGAGAAAGCACTTGTGCATATTTTACTAATACTATCATCGTCCATCACTGAAATTTTATTATTAACGAAGGCGAGTAGCTCATTAATAACAACATTGCAATTATTACACTTAATCACGTTAGAAATCACCATCGTTATGTAAGCGCTGACAGCACGTCTGCCACGGCCGCGCGCACGCACCGCACCGCATTTGATGATGATATTATTTTATTGAATGATAATTATTTTATTCTTCGTTTTATTTTATATACCATGTATTACATTTTTCAAAATAATTACCGACTAAACGTACGGAAAAAATGTATAAGAAAATTTTCGAAATTTTTAAATTCTCTAAACAACTTATAAATTACAGAGTAATGAAACAATACTTAACATAGTTTCAAACTTTTAACTGTAGTTCACTTCAACCAAGATCAGCCAGTAGCTGTTCCCGCCAGCAATCTCCTCAGTCCACCATATGGTGGGAGATGTATCGTCCATACATAATACATACATATCTACATGTATTTGTCGTATCATCACTCCAGTGATAATACATTATGTGGTTAGTCCACCCGCGCAATATCAACAATATTATTTTTAACGAGGGGTCTCTGAGGCGATGATAATATTGAACTTCAGTACTGAATATTGTATTAAAGTTAGTAGATTTAAAAATATTCTTAAACACTTTTAGTTTATTTGGGGAGTTTTAACATCCTAACTTAACTTTCGTATTTAAGTCCAGGTGAACACCAAAACAGTGAAATTCATGGACTCTTATAGTGGATTGGAAAATATTACTGAAATATATTTAAAATAAGTATGTATTTGTTTTGATTTCTTATTTTATGCTCGTCTTATATTCTTAATCTTTTTCTGACACTATTAAACATGTAGGCCAGAACAAATCGTAAATTTAGTTAACTGTCGGAATCAAGATAAAAAGCTTTAATAATAATTTTATTTTAAATATGAAGAAACTTTTATTCTCAAAACTCTAATTTTTAAGGATTTGTAACAACACAAATAAAAATGTTATATACATCTTTTTTTTTTTATATATTTATTCTAGAATATTTATAATGTAATAGTCACAGTGTTTTAAATTTTGTTATTCTCATTCTATAATAAATTTTCAAATGTGTAATGTAGATAAAATCTTCAAATATTCGAGTTACCAATCGAAGCGTCTAATGACGTCAAAGTAGTAATATTCCTATTTGCTTGTTTTCAGTCGCAGCCACCTTTGCTTCATAAATGTATCTGGAATTTTCAAAGATTTTGTTTTAATATTTCTCTTTATTTCAGCTTTGAGATATTTTGGTAATTATGGCTTCTTTACCTGTAAGCAAAGTAAGTTGATCCGTTCAATTATTCATTGCTTATTAACACATAAACGTCTGTAATGAAGTCTAATCAAATTTAATATAGAAAATTCTCTCATAAATTTTGTGCTATGGAAGATCAAAAATAAAAAGTAATCGTATGAAAAATTAAGTATTCATTTAATAAACATGTATATTGTTATTAAACTATTGCGACTAAATTAAATAATAATAATTAGATAACATTTAAACTCCTTGGAATGGTCAAGTTACATATAAAAATCTGTATAGTTAATGTTTAAAAAATTTCCAGCTCGAAGAAATATTTATCCGATATGTTCCCCGCTCCTCAAATACCAAAATATTGTTTTATTGTAAAAGGCCACTGATACATAAATTTATGGTAACATGATTTGATTTTTAAAACACGATATATAACGATACCAAAAATAATTGTCAGATATTACATATGTTTCCTCTACAATAATAAGTAAGGGGTATAAGTAGAGTAAATTTTATTTTATTTTAAACTTTTATTTTCGGCAATTCGATGTTTAGAACGAAACAAACGACGTCTTCACCATGAAAATCTACGAGATGCAATTTCCCCAAGTATTTATTAGCAGTGCGTCTGGATAATTTGTTTTATGAAGTAAATATATACTTTTTTTTAAGTTCTTATAATTTAGATCATAGTTAATAAGCGCTACTGTAAGGCCAGATGACAGATCATTTTGAAAGATTAAAAATGTATAAACTCACAATCTAACGCTGGTTGATATTTATATTGCATGTTACATAGCACCATATTCAATTATTTTACTGTAAGCAAACGACACAGTTCTCGCCCGAGTTGTGAGAGAGGTTCGGGTAAGAAAGACTGAAAGGGCCGAGGAGAGGCTGGAGGCAGGCGGCTATACATTTAATATATATTACACAATACGAATTAAATATAGATTTGAGAGCATTAATTTAACTCGTATTTATTTTTTGTTCTAAAGTTTTTCAATGACCCTTTTTAATTTGAAAGTTCATTACATACGGTCAGAGTATATATAACAACGTCATATTGCATGTATTAAAATGTATTTTATAGATGGTCTTGTATGAGTATTTTTGAGTTATATAACAGGTGTGACTCGTGAACAAAATAGTTGCACTATCAATGAATTCTTTTATTTATATTATCTTTAATTATTTTAATACAGAAAGGATGGATGAAACTCATCAAATGTAATCATTTGAGTTAGTAGAAAAAACTTTTAATTATAATCAAAAATATTTTTTAAATTTGTGTAAGGAAATTAAAGGGGACGGCAATTACAACAGACGGACTGCAATTAATATTTCAAAATCACAATTCTTCAATCAACTACGAGTATTATTTAATCAAAAATATTTAAATCCAGCGTCGTCAATAATAACGATAAATTGAAGTATAAAGATAAACATGATAAGTTACACCCCCAAAGAAAATTCTTTTTAATCCGACTCTGGTGATTATAAGTGGCTGGAAACACTTGTTCATCTATTGCATTGACATAAGTAATAATAGTTTTCCGAATAACTCAAAGAAAATTACAATTTAGATAATAATCGTTCAGGTGTATCCTATCCTTAACGTGGCTATATTTGAACAAGACCTAATTTATCATGACACTTGGAATTGCATGACTTTAACCAAGACGAATTATTACTTACGACATGAGTTTCACTAAATGATTTAATTTATAATAAATAATAAAAGTTTTAAAAGTAAACCAATGTGTTTAAAATAACTTTTTATTAACTCTATTATCAAACTAATTAATCATACTATGTATATAATTAATGATTGTACTGACTAATTATTGACAAATATGTGAAATATGTTCCTGAACATGTTATTTATTTAAATTAATATATATTGGGCTAAGCTTTATTTGTGAGGGCTGTTATGAGGCCTTGTTTATTAATACAAGTTCATAATTTTAAACAAAATTAATACTCAAAAAACCATCTTAAATCAAATATTTTCCAAAGAGTATTTTCTTTTCTTTTTATTAAAAACACTATTAGAGATCTAAATTGCTAAGTTAAATTTATGGTGTCCCAGTAGCATTAGGACGGGACTATGGTCTAAATGTAAGTCAGACTACGCCTAGACTGAATTCAACTCTCTAGTTGGCCCTCATGCCATGTTCTTCAATAAGTACTCTTCAAATACTTCTGTCTTTTGACTCACTCATACCGATATAATTATTAATAGCTTTATCTCTTTCAGAACAATTTTTTATTACAATCAATATAAAATAGATGAATAATAGTTTACATTAAATATTTAAATGGTATATAAACTTTACTTATGATAATTGTATAATGTTTTAATATGGTTATTGAAATGAACTTATTATTATGTGATTAATTTAAAAAAATCAATAGAATCCCCTGTTATGTATGTGAAATAATTATTTATATATTAATTGTGTTTAAATTTATAAAAATTAAACTAAACAGACAATAAATATGTCGCGAGTTTATAATAATATCAGAGTATGAAGGTTTCCAAATAATATAAATCAACAGTCTGTAGATTCTTTGGTTCAAAAATGATTTGAAATCTCAATTTTATATAATACATTTATCAATACTGAAAAGGTCAAACTAGAAAGCAAAGTGCATACTTAAACAAACGCTAAGTCTGTGTAATTAGGATTGTCGCAACAAGCCAGACAAAAATATCTCACATCAAAAGCATCTCACACAGAAACTCCAAATAAACTGTTCGCATCCAATAAAACTTATATTGTATGTATAAAACACAGAAAGTTTGTAGGAAAATAATCACACATTTTATAAATAGTGTTAATGATGATAGTAAACTATTAATTTATTGCGGGAACTCTTACGTGTAATAATTGAGAAACACTTAAGTTTATTTCTGCTTATGATAATTGCCTTAATGCATAATATTAGAATCTCCAAGGATTCTTATATAAATTAGTTCCACTTAGTTAAGATTTAAATAATATTTAGTGAGAGAGAGCTAAAACTCTTTCTCATATTTTTCCCCTCAAGGCACAGCAGAGAACAATGTCTGACTAAAAACTGTTCATGTAAGTCAATGTAATATTAATATGGTTTTCTTTAATTTTCAAGTAGGTAGGTTGTTTCATCAATAAACAGTAATAGTAAATCTTTATGATGAGAACCCCTATAAGCGTTGTATGTAATACTGAATATGATCCTTCCCACCACTGTTATCTATACATAATATATCTATTTAATTTATGTTTA